AAATTGGGAATGAATTCGTCGATCTCAATGAATTACCAATTCTAGAAAACATTCAAGATTTCGACGTTCGTGAAGATAGTTATCCAGTTGATTTGGATGATGTTGATATTCATCCTAGTGTTCCAATTGATTTGGAACAAGATGAAGTACCTACATTAAATATTCCCGATGCAAGAGGGAAGAGAAAGGGGAAGAAGCAGACAAAATGTTGGGATAATTTCAAATTGGTTTACACGGGTCGTGTGGTCGATGGACTTCCATAAATCAAAGCAGTATGTAAATATTGCCAACAATGATTGACATGACAAAAAGGCATTGAAACTACCCACCTCAACCGTCACTACAAAACTGTACGGCCAAAATAGACTTCTTCCAACTAGTCAAACGCAACTACAGTTTGGTACTCCATGAACTGGTGCTACTACTACGCCACTTTTTACGTGGATGCATTCGGAGGAGGAAGCTCGAACGGGAATGGTGAAGTTCGTTGTGGCGGCGGAGTTGCCACTAGCAATAGCGGACAACCAACATTTCATAAATTACGTCAAACAATATCTTCAACCGAGGTACGTTGGGTTAAGTCGAAATACTTATCGATTTGATACAATTGAATATTTTCTTAATTCAAAGAAACTATTGATTGCGGATTTAGAAAAATATGGGGGTGTGATATCTTTAATTTCGGATATGTGGGAATGGATGAATAATAGAGGTTATATAGCTGCAACTGCACACTATATAGACCAACTTTGGGTCATGCATAAAAAAATTATTGCTTTTAAAATTGTTGAGTACCCGCACAACGTTCAAACTATATTTCATTCTATTATGTTAATAATTAGAGAATATAAATGCGAGAGTAAAATTCGTTCTTTTACGTTCGACAATGCTATTGTAAATAAGGTTGTTATCGATAAATTGCATAAAATACTTCAACCCGATTTTGGTGGTTATTTATTTCATATTCGATGTGTATACCATGTTTTTAATTTAATAGTACAAGACGGTTTAAAACATTGTTAATGATGAAATTAACCGAATTACGAATGCACTTGTATATATCACGATTACACCAAATAGAAAACAAGCATTTGAAGAATTTTATGAAGAATTTGGGAAGACTCATAAAAAAACCTTTATTACTGACGTAGGTCATAGATAAAGCTCAACTTACTTATTATTACAATCATGTGAAGGTTTTGAACATTTAATTATTGAGGCATATTAGAGACGAAGACAATACTATCTTGAATGAATCCAATTGCAATATAGTTTTTAAAATTAAAAATTTTTTGACTAGTTTTTATGATTCTACAAATATATTGTCCGGTGTTTATTATCCCACTAGTTGTATGGTTTTTGAACGTTTTTATATAATTACTATGGTTTTAAGAGATTTCAAAATGACTCCGATTTTCATACAGTTATATATTCCATGGATTTAAAATTTTAAAAATATTGGGAAGACTTACCTATGTTATTTCTTTTAGCATGCGTTAGAGACCCCCAATATAATTTATCGGATGCTAAATTTGTAATTGACCAAATTTTAAATGCTTTAAATTTTAATATGCCTATTACTTATAGAAATTTGGAACTAACGTTAACTGAAATAGATGAATTATATGCTTCACGAATAGGTACGCATATTACTCGTGTACTTACAACTCCTCCTCCCACTAATTTAAATGATGACGACGCTGAAGTTTTAAATTTATTCGAAAACATGAACTCGTATAGATATGATTCAACTGCATATGCATGTGGTTCCTCTAGTAATAGTAGTTTATTTTCCACTGCATGTACTCAAATTTCAAGCACTAGTCCAAATGCGTTGCCATCTGAATTAATTGATTACTTTAGTCATACTTTGCATAGTAACAAATCAGTTAGGAAAATTTCAGAAGATGTCATTGAATTCTAACGAAAAAACGAACGTCGATGGCCAATAGTTTCTGCAATTGCAAAAGATCTATTAACACCTCCGGTTAGCACTGTAGTTTCGGAGTCTGCTTTTAGTGTAGGGAAGAGAGTTCTCTTTGAGGTCCGAAATCGACTAAAAGAAGATATTTTGGAAGCGTTAATGTGCGTGAAGAATTGGGAAGATGCTAATTATCNATAAAAGAGTAAACAAAAAATAAAACTCAATCTTTAAAATGGCAACAGTCAAGATATATTTTGTAAACAATTTTTTAAATATACACTTCTTTAGAAAATGTGTGTGTGTGTGTGTGTGTGTGTATTAGGTTTATTAGTAAAAAAAAAAAATTAAAATTGACAAGCGTGCTCGCCAAAAAACCAATGAGCCGAGCTTAAGTCGAACTCGTGCGGGTAAGCTGGCTCCACCTATTGCCACCACTATCATACGCTAATCGAATCTACAAATTGCTTATATCTTCTCAAAACTTATTTCGAGAATTACATTATGAGCATATCAAATATTCCAAACAAACATAAAAAATAGTTAAAAATACGTTAAACGTGAGTTTTAAAGAAAGATGTTTAACTCGCATTTAAAAAAAAATTCAGTTATTTCATTAACATTTATTTTTTTTCGATACATATTTCTCAATGTAATTTTCATCATTTTATTAGGAAATTTTATAGGGAATATGACACCAAAAATTTTGAAATTTTACATCCGAAAATGTCAAATCCCATGTAAATTTTCGGATGTAAAATTACATGTGGTATGCTTTTTTTTTTTTACGTAAATTTTCGATTGTAAAATTTCTCCTAATTTCCTTGCAAGTTCGATTGTACCCTCTTAACTTTAAATATCTGCGTCCGCCCCTACAAGAGGTAATATATATGGGCCGTGAGTAGCATTAATTTCTTAAGCTATTTCCAACGGTCCACGTTGTTTTAGGGTCGAGCCTTTAGACTTGGTTGTTGGTAACGATTTCACTTATCAGACAATGCCTATGAAATTCAATCCGACGTTCACATCATAACTCAGGATTCATTGGGTATCAAAACCCAACAATGATGTTTATCACCTTGAGAACATGTGGTCGGAAAGTATCATCTAATGAGATTATTATTATCATTTAGATTCTTTAATTTGAATAAGGACATCAATTTCTCAAATCTTATGCAAAATAGCAAGTGTGATTATATTTTATTAATTAAATGGCAAACATTTAAAGAATTTTTATGGTATAGATAGAACCATAAATAATGCAATATAATTTTATGTAAAGAAAATAAATCTTTAGGTGTTATATGATTTTATTTAGCAAAAAATAGTGGTTTACACGAAATTCTTATTTTCAAAGCGAAAGAGGAGTATAAAACATAAAAACAGAATGTTTTGGAGTTTAAGGAATTGACATACTGGAATGCATAAGGAATTAAGCCATAAATACTGTCAGTTTAATCATATGTTTGTAAAATCAGTCCCGTTTAGCATATCAAACATGTCATAAAAGCCGAGAATCAGACATATATTAGTACTTGAGTGTCATTCATTTTATGAGGAGAAGAAATAACACTGGCATAAGTTTTGTACTCAAAAAATTACAGTGGAATCATTAAGTTATCCTAAGAATTAGATTGTCTACATACAAACTGGACATATCTCCCTGTCAATGAAGGGTTTTACATTTCTTATATCTGTGCATTTGAAATCCCAACCCTTGGATCAACAATAAGATTACCTATCTTCTGATTATGTATATCTGCAGTGTATCTTGGCAAGTGACTCTCATCAGCACTTGAAAGCAACCTACAGATCTGACTGACCAGCTGGTCACAGGGTCCGCGACAAAGGCTTCTCGTCTGCAGAACTCGTTGCTGTGTAGAAGATATTGATAGAACTACCTACTCAAATCGGGCTAAACCTTTCCATCTGATGAAGGGAGATTTCTCTCCGTTTCTACAGCCTTAGAAGATGTAGTTACAAAGTTTGTGCCTTTGGAGGGAGCTGAAGAGGGAGAAGGCAGTTTTTTAGGTAGCATTTGGTCCCAGTGTACCTTAGGCACTCTTGATGCTTCTGATATGAAAATGAGTGCAAGAAAACTCAAGATTAGCCACTTGTGATGCCAAGAACCCGACATGACGATTACGCCACCAAACCTTTTTGGGTCAAGACTTTTGAAAGACAAAAAATCCTACCGGAGCTATCTGAGACGAGTGTTTCGATAGTAGGGGGGAGGGAGACAAATCAAACACTTGCACAGGGTCTCTATTATAACTGCCAAGGATTGCTTTAGAGAGTTTGCAGCAGGCTACAGACATGATGAGCAATGTAAGAAGACTGCCAGTTTGTTTATTTAAGGAAAGATGAAACAGTGGCAGACAATGCTTGTATATAATTATTATTAGCAGCTGTTTGTGTTCTTGTTCTTGTAATCTTTACTCCAACTAGAAAAGATGTTTAGTAATAAAGTAAGTTATGGAATGATCCTATTACATTAGACCCCACAGTAGTTGGAACTAATCCTTTTTCAATATGCAGGGAACAAATCTTTGGAGTCAGAATTAGTTAAAATACAAAAACAGTAATATATACTGTATATCGTGCTTGTCTTTAAAATTTTATACCATAACATCTCTACACCATGAGTCATGACATTTTATTGAGATCGTATCACTTTTACAAATGAACCCTGCAAACATGTATCCATTGCTTGAATTATGTTTCGTTTCATTTCTCTTCTAATGGTATCATGTTCACTTACTCGTTATATTCTCATTTCTTCTATGTTAGGAATTAGGAAAAACTCCCTTTATTTATCGGCACGATTTTTATTGTTAAAAAAAATAACAAACAAAATGCTAAGCTTACAATTTTTCCTTACAAAAACTCTCTAGTCACATACCAAAAAAAAAAGAAAACAGCACCTTATTTATAAAGAAAAAATGTCCAGTTTTGGACTTCAGCAATTCGGTGGAAGAAAGGTTTCCTGTGCCAATTGATATCCTCTGCAATGATTTCCTTATTGCAATGAAAGTCCCTTTTAAATTGCAATTCTTTCCTCTTCCATTATTTGCTTGTTTGATTAAACATTGTTAAAATTTTATGAACTTTTCAACTAATTAAACTTCAATTTTAACTCCAAATTTCATAGAAACACAACTTTCATCAACTTTTCAACCACATGTTTTATTAATTTTTATCAAAATTATAGTCAAACAATCCCTATGACTCTTTTTGAAATTTTGAGACAACAATCTCAACATTATTCTATCCAGATTAGTATGACCACAAATTTATTTTAACGTCCTCATTTCTTCTATATTCATCTCCATCTTTAAAATGGCATCTAAATTTTACTTAACCTAATATCTTTATATTCTAAAATACACCTCCAAAGTCTTTAAGACATGTGAAAATTCAATACCTACAAAGTCCCTACCATTAAAAAAAATTGATTCTTCATATTCAATCATGCAAACATGAGGAGAATAGAATTTAATAATTTGGAGAAACGAAAGAAGGGAGACAAGCCCCAGTTCAAAAGGGTAAAGTGTTGTTGAAGAAGTCCCAAAAGCAACTTGACCACTTTTTGTCTAGTCTTTTTGCCAACATTGAAAATATTCAATGCACAAATAAAGATAATGAGTGTCAGTAGTGTTCAATTTTCTTTGAGCAGCTCTTCCTTAAGTTCATGGGGCTGTCATTATGAAATCAGAATTGGAGAGACTTAACACTACCTAATTGGTTTTGTGATGACACCACATACTAGTTGTTTGAGAAGTTAGACCGATAATTGGTTCTAATCAACTAAATCGCCTAAAATTTTAACAGTTCTGCTACGTGTACAGAAAATGGCTGCCAGAATTTCTACATAATACACTTGCAATTTTCTATTGGAAAATGGCAATAAATAAATAAATAAATGAAAACAAACCGGCATCTGTTGAAATTCTGGCAGCAATTCCTCTGTACACGGGGAATTGCTGAAAATTTAATGGTCTTCAATATATGTCCCCTTGTGTAGAATGTATTTGAACTTATTTATAACTTATTTCTTTCATCATTTGTTTGAAATGTAATTTTTTTTAAAAATAAATTAGTGGTGGAAATAATCAAACTCACGAACCAACTTATCTAAATGTTTAATTTAGTACATGTATATTACAATAAGGTATATAAATGGTAAATACTTGAGATTACAAGTTTAGTAACTTTAGCAATGAGTGAAGTAGAAAGAGTTTAATATATAGAAATAGAGTTGCGAAAGACTAAGGCAAGTATGTATCGTCCACCTTCCAAAGTCAAATCGTATAAGTGTTCTTCCTTTTTCGAATTTCAAAGGATAGTAAATGTGTATAAATGCTCATCTCAGAAGCTAGTTTTTAAATTCTAGCTTTTCTCTCATGGCAACTGTTGGGATGGTGAAATATCATGTCCTGGCCTAGCCTGTCCATAATATTTTTTCTTTTTTACTTTATTGTGTTTTTATGTATTTAAATTTAAATAATAAGTAAATGTGAAGGTTAAAATGAAGGTATTTGAATCCTATCCCACCGTGCCTGCCAAAAATCCCTAATAGGTTGGGAGACATGGAAGGTCGCTCCAAACTCCTTGCCACGTTATCATCCCTAATTATTCAAAATTATTTTGCTACCTTAAAATTGTAAATTGAACATATCGCTTAAAATTGTTTAAACTATTAGATTATAAATAAATTTATTTATTTATTTATAGTTTTGTCCTCAAGGCGCTTTACTGTGTGCAAGTTGAATTTATTTTTTATTAAAAGTTTGATAAATACACAATACTTACAAAAAAGACTGACGACGATGATTGAATTTTCAATCTTTAACTACTATAATAACATGATATACAACTTCATTTAAAGTTTTAACGTAGTTCGGAACGGCATTCATTGACCCAAGTGTCACTAGCCGACTACCCGGTGCCTTATTGCTTTTTAGTTGATTCAAGAAATATATTTCCACTTGCAAAAACAAAAATCCATTAATAAATAAATCCAAACTAGTTTCAAATATGTCACAATCACATCATTAATTTTGTTGTATCAATTTTCTAAGAAAGTTATTCTTAAGTGCATTCCCTTTTTGAGTTATAAAACCTAAATGCACGAATGCTTCATTTTTCTACCTTTTTCAGCCGAAAGCACTAGGAATGAAAGAAGATGAGGCAATGAAGAATGAAAAGAGTCTATAATTTTTCAATTTTGTAAAAATTGGATAAATTAAATAATAATTGGCCAAGCTGTCTAGACAACGTGGAGTTGATCCATTGTGTCTTTCTCCCAATTGGGGGGCCAAAGTTTAATATCCAAAGCATGATATGTTTTGTAGATAAACTTATTAAAGTTTAAGTCATTGGTGAAAGTTGACATTTTTGATATGACAAAAGCATGAAGTATGCACTTATGGTATTTGTCATACGTTGTCTCTGTCTAATCTAATGTATTAAATATGTTCGTAAAGTGTGAAGTATTTAAACTATATGTTTTTGTCCTTCTCACACATCTAGAGAGAGGGGCACGAGGTTGCAAATTGGTTGACGAAGATGGGCTTCTAAGACGAACAATTCTTTCACCCCACATGATTTGGTTGGTGAAGTGAAGGGACTGTTGAGGCTTGACAAATGGGATATGCCTAGCTTAAGATTGTAATAAGTTTGATTGAATGTGTTCTCTTAATTTCTATCTTTTTGCTTTGGATCCAATTAGAGGTGAAGCTATGTATATTTTCACATCTCAATTGTCCATTTATTAGTATGTGATATGTTCGATGTAATTCGTTGGAGGTAAGGTGCTAGATTTCTCACCGTTTATCTAACGGGGGATGATAACAAACTCTCGTTGAAGTTGAGATGAGTAGGGCTTAAAACCCTTGACCTATTATTTTGTTATGTTTTACATTGAATTCATTTCTTGTGCAATTTTAGATTTGAAATTCTACTAAACGAATTTGTTTTCTCAGTTTAAAGTCGTGTCGATACATTCAAAAGTTTAATCAGTTCATTTTAAAAGAGTACTCAAAGGTCATTTATACCCAAAATAGACGGTTAAAAATACAAGTGCCCAAGTGCTGTTTAGAAATATTATTCACCTCATTTCAGTGCTATTTGCCTCAGTCTTCATTTTTGGGAAAAATTCATGGGTAAGAGATTATCTTTCATGAAATCAAAAATCAGGCTCCAAGGTTTAAATTTACAAAACCCAGGTTTTTCCATGAATTAATTAATTGTACTTTACAATTAATCTATTAAATTAAATATTTAAATGTAATATAATATAATTGACCCACCCCACTCTACCCCACCTCCACATCCACCACCTCCACTGCTCCGGCGACTATTTCGATGACCGGCGACTACTCCGGTGACCGACGACTGTTCTCCGTCCACGCTTAATTCCGACGACTAATTTTTGGTGACCGTTGGCTGACACTTAATTCTGGTAACTGCTCCAATTTTAAAGTCACAGATATCTTATTAAATAGTTAAAATTTTAATTTTCAGTCATACCTTATCAAATTAATTGGTCACAGATTATTTTGAGGTCGCAAATGAAAAATTTATAGGTCACAGATTTTTAATTGGTCACAAGTTAAGAAAATTTATTGGTCACGGATTAACAAATTTTAAGGTCACAGTTATATAGTTAACCACAAATAACTATATAGTTGGTCACATACACCCAAACCCCTGTCGCCCAATCCCACCGTACCACTAATACTTGGTCACAGATTGATATAGTTGGTCATGTGATTGATATAGTTGGTCACATACACCCAAACACCCGTCCCCCCAATCCCAAAACACCAGCAATACTTGGTCACTGGTCGACCAAATAGTTGGTCACATAAACTCTTCGTCCCCCAATCCCAAAATAAATTTGTGCTTCCTTCCAAAACATTTTGAAATTGCTGTGTGAAAAGAATATATTATTGGGTCGTTTGGAAAAAATGGTTAATAAAATTTTTGAGAGGTTTAAGATATTGGACATTGACAGTTGGTTCGAGATATTGGGCACTGGTCTTCCGAACTTGTCATTTTCTGAGTAGATGTTGAGCAAAGCGAAATAAAATCTTTGTGCAAGAACTATCAACTCACATTTGGAATTGTCTTGGA